TTGTGTGCTTCACATGCGATATGCCGCGCCACAGAAGTGTGAAGGCTAAAGCAATAATTAAGGTTCAGGTTTTTTTTTTTTTTGTAAAATAACAAACCTGTCTATACTTACCTGCTGTGTGCAGTGGCTTTGCACAGACCAGCCCAGATCCTCCTTTTTGCGGGTCCCCCGCCACCGCTCCTGGCTCCTCCTTTCTGTCGGGTGCCCCCACAGCAAGCAGCTTGCTATAGGGGCACCCTAGCAGGAGCACTCCCGATTATTCACACATGGAGCCTCAGCTCATCCCCACCCCCTCTGTCTCCTCATTGGCTCACTGGCTGTGATTGAGAATGTCGGAGCCAATGAGGAGGCAGCGACCCGACACAGTCAAGGTTCTCGTGCACATCGATGGACCGTGATGGGGCTCAGGTAAATATTAGGGGGGCTGGGGGCACTGCTGCACACAAAAGGTTTTTTTACCTTCATGCATAGAATACATGGAGGTAAAAAACACCTTTCCAACCACTTTAAGGGCCAGTTCACACTCCATGCCTTTCAGTTGCTTTTTTCTGCATCCAAAATGCAGAGAAAGAAGGTGATATGGTTGTCGTAGTTCACATCAGGGCTTGTAGCTCCAGTGCATTCTGGTTGCAGGAAAAACCGTAGAACAGGCTGCATTTTTTTTTGCACAGAACTGCACTGGAACGTGGTAAAACGCATCAAAAACACACTGGAGCGTACCAAACGCACAATGGAACGCACCAAACGCACACTGGAACGCACCAAACGCACACTGGAATGCACATGTCCCTATTTCAATTGAAGAAAGAGAGAGGGGAAAAAATTAACTGGAATGCATAAAAAGCACACTGGAACACTTGAAAAATGCATAAAAAATGCACATGCGGAAACGCATTCGGAATGCTTCAGGACTGCATTTCTATAGTGTGAACCAGCCCTTAGGCTCCATGCACACTAGCGTGCCATGTACACCAGATTTGGCCCTTTGCTCGCTTTAATTCGGCCCTTGGGGCACTATTTCATCCACAGATACCAGTAATGGGGCATAATTTGCCCCATTGAAACCAATGAAAGGGCACAATTCCTCCCAATGAAACAACAATGGGGCACAAATTTTCCCAATGACATACAACAATGGGGCCCAATGACACCAACGAAGGGGCACAAATCTCCACAATGACATACAACAATGGGGCCCAATGACACCAACGATGGGGCACAAATCTTCCCAATGACATACAACAATGGGGCCCAATGACACCAACGATGGGGCACAAATCTCCACAATGACATACAACAATGGGGCCCAATGACACCAACGATGGGACACAAATCTTCACAAATGACATACAACAATGGGGCCCAATCACACCAACGATGGGGCGCAATTTATCCCAATGACATACAAAAACAGGGCACAAATTTTCCCAATGACATACAACAATGGGGCCCAAAGACACAAACGATGGGGCACAATTTATCCCAATGACATACAACAATGGGGCACAATGACACCATGATGGGGCACAATTTATCCCAATGACATACAACAATGGGGCACAATTTATCCCAATGACATACAACAATGGGGCACAATTTATCCCAATGACATACAACGATGAGGCCCAATGACACCAACGATGGGGCACAATTTATCCCAATGACATACAACAATGGGGCCCAATTTATCCCAATGACATACAACAATGGGACCCAATGACACCATGATGGGGCACAATTTATCCCAATGACATACAACAATGGGACCCAATGACACCATGATGGGGCACAATTTATCCCAATGACATACAACAATGGGGCCCAATAACACCATGATGGGGCACAATTTATCCCAATGACATACAACAAAGGGGACCAATGACACCAACGATGGGGCACAAATTTTCCCAATGACAGACAACAATGGGGCACAATTCCTGTCACTGACACCAAACATCCCAAAAGAAAAAAACCTCTCTATGCAATACACACTAAACTGAGCATGTGCAGAGTGACTCCTAGAGCTCTGTACTATCAATAGATGGATTGGGGACAGTGGAAGAAGGGGAAGATCAGAGAAGACAGGATCAAACAGCCTTTTTACACAATGCAGAGGATTAACACAGAAAAATGCACAGAAAGAAGGTGATATGGTTGTCGTAGTTCACATCAGGGCTTGTAGCTCCAGTGCATTCTGGTTGCAGGAAAAACCGTAGAACAGGCTGCATTTTTTTTTGCACAGAACTGCACTGGAACGTGGTAAAACGCATCAAAAACACACTGGAGCGTACCAAACGCACAATGGAACGCACCAAACGCACACTGGAATGCACATGTCCCTATTTCAATTGAAGAAAGAGAGAGGGGAAAAATTAACTGGAATGCATAAAAAGCACACTGGAACACTTGAAAAATGCATAAAAAATGCACATGCGGAAACGCATTCGGAATGCTTCAGGACTGCATTTTCTATAGTGTGAACCAGCCCTTAGGCTCCATGCACACTAGCGTGCCATGTACACCAGATTTGGCCCTTTGCTCGCTTTAATTCGGCCCTTGGGGCACTATTTCATCCACAGATACCAGTAATGGGGCATAATTTGCCCCATTGAAACCAATGAAAGGGCACAATTCCTCCCAATGAAACAACAATGGGGCACAAATTTTCCCAATGACATACAACAATGGGGCCCAATGACACCAACGAAGGGGCACAAATCTCCACAATGACATACAACAATGGGGCCCAATGACACCAACGATGGGGCACAAATCTTCCAATGACATACAACAATGGGGCCCAATGACACCAACGATGGGGCACAAATCTCCACAATGACATACAACAATGGGGCCCAATGACACCAACGATGGGGCACAAATCTCCACAATGACATACAACAATGGGGCCCAATGACACCAACGATGGGACACAAATCTTCACAAATGACATACAACAATGGGGCCCAATCACACCAACGATGGGGCGCAATTTATCCCAATGACATACAAAAACAGGGCACAAATTTTCCCAATGACATACAACAATGGGGCCCAAAGACACAAACGATGGGGCACAATTTATCCCAATGACATACAACAATGGGGCACAATGACACCATGATGGGGCACAATTTATCCCAATGACATACAACAATGGGGGGGCACAATTTATCCCAATGACATACAACAATGGGGCACAATTTATCCCAATGACATACAACGATGAGGCCCAATGACACCAACAATGGGGCACAATTTATCCCAATGACATACAACAATGGGGCCCAATTTATCCCAATGACATACAACGATGGGGCCCAATGACACCAACGATGGGACACAGTTTATCCCAATGACATACAACAATGGGACCCAATGACACCATGATGGGGCACAATTTATCCCAATGACATACAACAATGGGGCCCAATAACACCATGATGGGGCACAATTTATCCCAATGACAAACAACAAAGGGGACCAATGACACCAACGATGGGGCACAAATTTTCCCAATGACAGACAACAATGGGGCACAATTCCTGTCACTGACACCAAACATCCCAAAAGAAAAAAACCTCTCTATGCAATACACACTAAACTGAGCATGTGCAGAGTGACTCCTAGAGCTCTGTACTATCAATAGATGGATTGGGGACAGTGGAAGAAGGGGAAGATCAGAGAAGACAGGATCAAACAGCCTTTTTACACAATGCAGAGGATTAACCCCTTAGGTTCCACAGTGAGTATAACCAGCACGCTTTCCTGCATCTACAGACTGATTGTACTGTTGGGGGTTTAGGAACACTTTAAAAATCGTATCATTGTAATATTACTTCCCATGCAATCCTCACCTCTCACAGTATTGGAAGCCTCCCAGATATACCATGTCAGCCGGTAATATATAATCCACCTATCAGCAATGACATAACTCCTCCTCCCTGATCATTGGGCGATAGGATCTTGTGATGCCATAGGCAGGTTATTACCTTAAAGGACTTGTCTGCTCCATAAAAAGGTGACATACCTTCACCCACCTGGGATTTTATCATCCAACACCGGGTTTGTTGCAGTCCTCAGATTTGGCAAAAAAACAAATAATGACACAACGTAGACTAGAATGGATTCTGCTGTCATCTCCCGATCTCATAACCTGCACACAAGGGGCGGGAGGGTGATGTCACAGACGCCATCACAACCGCAGCTCCTCTCCAATGTGACTACAACATGCCTGAGATGGAAGATTCAGGTAATGGAAGGAGTGAGCTCAGACGTATCTAAACCCAAACAAAGATGTCACATATTACAGCTAACCACACCCCTTAGATGTGGTAGCTGCATTAGTTTTCCCTTTTTTAGGCTTTTTGCCCCTTAAACCACTTCCCGTCCGGCCGTTGTGTATAAACGGCCAGACGGTTTGGCAGTGCAGGGTTGGGTGGTTGTTTATAAACATTCTCCCCACCCCCTGCTTGTGCACTCTCCCTGGGATCGCGCAGCAGCGCGATCTGGTGCCCACTGTGTCCTTCGAACACAGTGGGACACCGATCGTCGGACGGGACTTCTGTGCGAGGTCCCGATCATGTGATCACTGATTGGCCAATCAGTGATCACATGAAGAGTAGTAAGCAATTATGTCACTTCTGACATCATTGCGTACTACGTGTGAAATCTGTGAATGATCACAGAGGTCACATGGTACAGGGCCATTCACAACAGCCTTGTACCATGTGACAAGCTGTGACCAATCACAGCTCTCACAGTATTTCTCAATGGCTGCAGGAATGCAGCCAGAGAGAAGGAGAAATGATTGCTTTTACAGCCTTTATAGGTGTAAAAGCAATCAGTGTAACAAAAGAAAAAAAAAAAAAAAAATCATCGCCCCCCACAAGTAGTGCAGTGTTACCATGTACACCTGTATTGCTAGGGTGACAATATGCAAAAAAAAAAAAAAAAAAAAAAAAAAAAAACTAATATAAAAAAAATTAAAAAAAAAATGTTTAAAAATTATAATATTTGGTTATAAACTAATTTGGATTTTTTTTTTTTTTTTTATACTAAAAAGATAACAGAATAAATTTTGGCCAAGATTTATGATGAAATATTATTTGCAAAATTTTATAAGAAAAGCACTTTTCAAAATTTTTGGAGTTATTCATTTATATAGCAAAAAAAAATAAAAATCCCAGCAGTGAATAAATACCACCAAAATAAAGCTTTATCTGTCTCACAAAATGCTAAAAAAGTCATATGGGTACAGTGTTGCATGACCGCGCAATTGTCATTCAAAATGTGATAGCGCTGAAAGCTGAAAATTGGCCTGGACTGGAAAGGGGGGGGGGGGTGAAAAAGTGTCCGGACTGGAAGGGGGGGGAAAAGTGTCCGGACTGGAAGGGGGGGGGAAAGTGTCCGGACTGGAAGGGGGGGGAAAGTGTCCGGACTGGAAGGGGGGGGAAAGTGTCCGGACTGGAAGGGGGGGGAAAGTGTCCGTCTCGGACTGGAAGGGGGGGAAAGTGTCCGGACTGGAAGGGGGGGGAAAGTGTCCGGACTGGAAGTGTCCGGGACTGGAAGGGGGGGGAAAGTGTCCGGACTGGAAGGGGGGGGAAAGTGTCCGGACTGGAAGGGGGGGGAAAGTGTCCGGACTGGAAGGGGGGGGAAAGTGTCCGGACTGGAAGGGGGGGGAAAAGTGTCCGGACTGGAAAAGGGGGGGGAAAGTGGGGGACTGGAAGGGGGGGGAAAGTGTCCGGACTGGAAGGGGGGGGAAAGTGTCCGGACTGGAAGGGGGGGGAAAGTGTCCGGACTGGAAGGGGGGGGGGAAAGTGTCCGGACTGGAAGGGGGGGGAAAGTGTTCCGGACTGGAAGGGGGGGGAAAGTGTCCGGACTGGAAGGGGGGGAAAGTGGGAAAGTGTCCGGACTGGAAGGGGGGGAAAGTGTCCGGACTGGAAGGGGGGGGGGGAAAGTGTCCGGACTGGAAGGGGGGGGGGGGGGAAAGTGTCCGGACTGGAAGGGGGGGGAAAGTGTCCGGACTGGAAGGGGGGGAAAGTGTCCGGGGACTGGAAAAGGGGGGGAAAGTGTCCGGACTGGAAGGGGGGGGACTGGAAGGGGAAAGTGTCCGGACTGGAAGGGGGGAAAGTGTCCGGACTGGAAGTGGTTAACCGCTTGCTGCCCTTAGGTTTACATGGTCAGTCATGATCCCAGTAACTTGAATGAATTTTTTTTTTGAGCCAGCAATGCTCTCTAGTGTAAAAGTAATCAGAGCGGCTATATAGCCAATGGATCGCTTTTACATGCGACGGAAGGTGGTTCCTCCCCTCCTCCTCCGCCTTTCCGGGGCTCCCCGGTGGAAAGGGAAAGCCAGCGCTTCCGCCGGCTGACCATAGATAGGGAGGAACGGAAATTCCCCGACAGGGGCAGACTGACCATTTGAGCTCTCGGGCGCAGCCCGAGGGCCCGGGGATCAGTAAGGGGCCCCATGAGATGCCCCTGGAACCTTTCATAGGTTTTTTTCATAAGCTTTTTTAGGTGTGGTTTGAGTGTGGGCAAGGACACAGGGGCCCCATGATCCCCTATTGCCCGGGGGCCCCATGAGCTGTCAGTCCGCCCCTGTTCCCCGATCATTCCTATGGTCCATGAAACCAGAAGCGATGAGGATTTTGACGCTTAAGGTCTCCGTTTATTGTAAACGAGCCATTACCAGCTTGTGAAAGCAGATGCATTGGAGGACAGAGGAGAGATATGGGGGTCTAACAGACTCCAGATCTCTCCATAAAGAGGACTTGTCACGACTAATGTTGTCACAAGGGATGTTGTTCATTCCTTGTGATAGCAATAAAGTTGATCCAAAAAAAAAAAAAAAAAAAAATTGTAGATGTACACAGTGTAAAAAAAAAAAACCACAAACAAAATTAAAAAATCATAATAATTAAACAAACAATAATTAAAAAATGGAAAGCATCCTGTCCCCCGTGCAAATGCAAACATGCACCCCTATGTAAATGGTGATCGCACCGCACATGTGAGGTATCGCCGCAAACGCCGGAGCGAGAGCGACAATTCTAACACCAAACACCCTGTTTACCTCTAAAATGGTAACCTGTAAAGGTTTTTTAAAGCATCACCCATCAAGTACCAGAAGTTTGCTGCCATTCCACGGGCGTACACAATTTTAAAGCTTGACGTGTTGGGTATCTATTTACTCGGTGTAACATCATCTTTCCTATTTTACCCCCCCCCACAAAAAATGGGCATTATATTTTTTTGTGCATTAAAATTCATTAAAGCATATTTTCATGCTTTAGCATTTGAAAAACCGCCGCACAACTATCGAGTGGCATAAAAAATTGCAACGACCTCCATTTTTGTCACCTGGGCTTTTGCTTTCTGAAAATATAGAATGTTTGGGAGTTCTGAGCAATTATCTAATTTCAAAAAATTACAAAAAAAAAAAAAAAAAAAAAAAGATTTTCTTACATATATGGGATTTCTGGGTTTTTGCACATAAAGGATTTTGAATTTACACCAAATGCAGGCCATACACATGGTTCGAATTTTGAACGATTTTTTGTCCAAAAATCGGAAACGTTGTTCTCTCGGTAATCCGATGGAGTCATCATTGATTTCGAAAATCGGCCAACCGAGTCATAAAGTTCACCCCATATAACAGGCGAAACTTCTGTTCCTTCCAGGTCACGGCTTATGTGCATATTCTTTTTGGAAAAAACGATCGTACGATTTGACCATCATCGGGTTGAAAAATCGGTCATTTTTCACAAATTTTCCAACATGCCCGATCACCGAAAAGAGGAAAAACCACAAAAATCGGCCGATGCCATTGACCCACAGAGCGAAAATCAGCCGATTATTCTTAGATCTGATTTTCGGATGAAAAATTGGTCAATTTTCGACCCATGTATGGCCAAAGAATCAGAATCGGGCGGCTCGCGGTGAAGTCCCTGTGCTCTCTGCTCACCAGCAGCTCACGGTGAAGTCCCTGTGCTCTCTGCTCACCAGCTCACTGTGCAGCTCGCGGTGAAGCCCTTTTATTAGTTACATTGTTTCCAGTCCTGACTACAGAATATCTCCCTCCAGGTTCTAAAAAAGATGGGAGTTTGTAGTCTTGTTCTATGGTGACAACGCTGCTCCTCCATAGATACAGTAGGGTGAGTGAGTGTTGTCCCCCTATGTGTGTTACTGGCAGGATCAACGAGTGAAAAAAAAAAATAAAGAAATTTAATAAAACCCCAAAAAAAAAAAAAAACAAAAAAAAAAAAAAAGGAAACAACAAATCTAAGGACTGTCGAGCTGCAATTTATTACATGTGCTGGTAGATTTAGAGATGCTTCAAAACAAGCGTAACAAGGAATAAAAAGCTGACCACAGTGGCTCACCTTATGTCGGTGTTCTCAGCCGCTTCCATCAGCTGCTCCTCCAGCACATGTACAGACTCTGAGGCCAGGACTATTAGTCGCTGAAGGATCTAAAAAATAAAAATAAACAAAGGAGCAGATGCTCATTATACACCATTCCGCCACCTTACTATTCCCAAAATATCAGAAAGAACGCACACATGGCTACAGAGTTATTACACTACAAGGGACAACTATATCCTGATATTCAGGTTTATTCACAGCATAGTAGTAGAATACCCTGTTGCTTAGGAGGCTGGTTATAGGAAAGCTGAACCGAACCAGTCCTTTTAACTCTGCGCATGATTCTGAGTATCCTGACCTCAGCCCAGCTGCACAGTTACCTGAGAATTAAGTCACTTCCTCTAGGGGGCCCTGTGCTCACTGCCTGGCACCATAGAGCTGGATTGGCATTTGTCATTGAACAACAGAATTGGACAGTCCACCACTGGCACCCTGTGCTTTTCACAGATGAGAGCAGGTTCACCCTGAGCACATGTGACAGACATGAAAGGTCTGGAGAAGCCGTGGAGAACCTTCTGCTGCCTGTAACATGGTTCAGCATGACCGTTTTGGTGGTGGGTCAGTGATGGTCTGGGGAGGCATATCCATGGAGGGACGCACAGAGCTCTACAGGCTAGACAATGGCCCCCTGACTGCCATTAGGTATTGGGATGAAATCCTTGGACCCATTGTCAGACCCTACGCTGGTGCAGGGGGTCCTGGGTTCCCCCTGGTGCGGTGGGACCTGGGTTCCCCCTGGTGCGGTGGGACCTGGGTTCCCCCTGGTGCGGTGGGACCTGGGTTCCTCCTGGTGCGGTGGGACCTGGGTTCCTCCTGGTGCGGTGGGACCTGGGTTCCTCCTGGTGCGGTGGGACCTGGGTTCCTCCTGGTGCGGTGGGACCTGGGTTCCTCCTGGTGCGGTGGGACCTGGGTTCCTCCTGGTGCGGTGGGACCTGGGTTCCTCCTGGTGCGGTGGGGACCTGGGTTCCTCCTGGTGCGGTGGGTCCTGGGTCCTCCTGGTGCGGTGGGTCCTGGGTTCCTCCTGGTGCGGTGGGTCCTGGGTTCCTCCTGGTGCGGTGGGTCCTGGGTTCCTCCTGGTGCGGTGGGTCCTGGGTTCCTCCTGGTGCGGTGGGTCCTGGGTTCCTCCTGGTGCGGTGGGGTCCTGGGTTCCTCCTGGTGCGGTGGGTCCTGGGTTCCTCCTGGTGCAGTGGGATCCTCCTGGGTTCCTCCTGGTGCAGTGGGTCCTGGGTTCCTCCTGGTGCAGTGGGTCCTGGGTTCCTCCTGGTGCAGTGGGTCCTGGGTTCCTCCTGGTGCAGTGGGTCCTGGGTTCCTCCTGGTGCAGTGGGTCCTGGGTTCCTCCTGGTGCAGTGGGTCCTGGGTTCCTCCTGGTGCAGTGGGTCCTGGTTCCTCCTGGTGCAGTGGGTCCTGGGTTCCTCCTGGTGCAGTGGGTCCTGGGTTCCTCCTGGTGCAGTGGGTCCTGGGTTCCTCCTGGTGCAGTGGGTCCTGGGTTCCTCCTGGTGCAGTGGGTCCTGGGTTCCTCCTGGGGAACAACAATGCTGGGCCTGATGTGGGGAGAGTATGCAGACAGTTTCCTGGAGGATGAAGGAATTGATACCATTGAATGGCCCCCACGCTCGCCTGACCTAAATCACCTCTGGGATGTCATGTTTCGGTCCATCCGACGCCCCCAGGTTGCACCTCAGACTGTCCAGGAGCTCAGTGATGCCCTGGTCCAGATCTGGGTCAGGCAAGCATACAAGCAGGAAATCCCCCAGGACACCATCCGTGGTCTCATTAGGAGCCTCCCCTGACATTGTCAGGCATGCATACAAGCACGTGGGGGCCACACAGACTACTGAGGACCATTCTGAGTTGCTGCAATGACATTTCACCAACATGGACTCGCCTGCTGCATCATTTCTTCACTTGGATTTTCGGGGTGTCTTTGAATTCAGTCCTCTCTGTAGGTCGATCATTTCCATCAAACGATGGGGCGTATTTACATTCCTCACCAATCACCCCGTCCATGTCAGTATAGATATACAGAGCAGGAGATGTTTCCCCCATTGAGATCTGATGGGTTTTCAAAGTGTTCCTTTCATTTTTTTTTTAGAGCCGTGTAGATTGGATTGGGTAACATTTATAGATTGGATGATGTTAATAAGATTTTAAACATTTGGAATCAACATTTGTTATTTTTACATAATATGGTTGGAATATATATATATATAAATATTAAAAAATAAAATAAAAAATAAAGAAACAATACCTAGATCAAGGTTTGATCTAGTTCAGTGCCAGGGTAAGTGTTTGGGTCAAGGTGGGGGTCAAAGGTCAGGATTTTTTTTTTTTTAATTAATATCAGTGTTTTTTTTTAACCTAAAAAACACAGACACTAATTTAAAAAAAAAAAAATCCTAACCTTTGACCCCCATCTTGACCCAAACACTTACCCTGGCACTGAACTAGATCAAACCTTGATCTAGGTATTGTTTCTTTATTTTTTAATATTTATTTTTTCTTTTTTACCTAAAACTAAATGCGCACTATTGTTTCTGGGCTGTACTGCGGGTGCAAACAACAAAATAACACACACACATATATGGTATCGCTGCGATCGCCAAGAGCTGGAGAATTTATTTTGGGTTGTTCTTTGGTGGTAGGTTATGGTAGTAACAAGAAACACACAGCTAAAATAAAAAAAAAATTATTTTTTTTTTTTTACTATTTTGGGCCAGTTTTCCTTTGATAAATAAAAGAAAAAATCAGGAGCTATCTATTACCATTTACCATCAAATGAAAGCCCAATTTATCCTGCAAAAAAAAAAAAAAATAAAAAAAAAATAAAAAAAAAAAAAAAAAAAATCGCAGTATAATCCACCTGGATGTACAAAGTAGTTGTGATGATATGGATGGTTTTACGATCACATGTCAACGCTGCAGAATTGTGCTCAGGCATTTACATTTGTTTTACCCTCAGGCTTGAAGGGGTTAAAAGTCACATGTTGGTAGATTAATTCTTCCTCTATAGTAACTCCTCAGGTAAATAATGGATTCCAAATAGAGGCAACGTGCCGTCACTGAGTTCTTAATTAAAGGGGAGTGCAGGCTGTCCGACATCCACAGAAGGCTAATCGAATGTTTATGGAGATGACACCATTGACAAGAGCAGCATTTTGTCACTGGGGACTCTCATCAATGGAATCACCTCCGTAAACATTCTGTAGCACTTTTGGATGTTGCAAAACCCTGCAACCCTCCTTCACAAGAACTGATTTTTGGTAATAGAGGGAAGAATAGTGCCCCATCCTTGGTGTCAGTGGAAGGAATAGTGCCCCATCATTGGTATCAGTGGGAGGAATAGTGCCCCATCATTGGTGTCAGTGGGAGGAATAGTGCCCCATCATTGGTGTCAGTGGGAGGAATAGTGCCCCATCATTGGTGTCAGTGGGAGGAATAGTGCCCCATCATTGGTATCATTGGGAGGAATAGTGCCCCATCATTGGTATCAGTGGGAGGAGTAATAGTGCCCCATCATTGGTATCAGTGGGAGGAATAATGCCCCATCATTGGTGTCAGTGGGAGGAATAGTGCCCCATCATTGGTATCAGTGGAGGAAATAGTGCCCCATCATTGGTGTCAGTGGGAGGAATAGTGCCCCATCATTGGTATCAGTGGGAAGAATAGTAACCCCATCATTGGTGTCAGTGGGAGGAATAGTGCCCCATCAATGGTATCCGTGGGAGGAATAGTGCCCCATCATTGGTATCAGTGGGAGGAATAGTGCCCCATCATTGGGTCAGTGGGAGGAATAGTGCCCCATCATTGGTGTCAGTGGGAGGAATAGCCCACCATCATTGGTATCAGTGGGAGGAATAGTGCCCCATCATTGGTATTAGTGGGAGGAATAGTGCCCCATCATTGGTGTCAGTGGGAGGAATAGTGCCCCATCATTGGTATCAGTGGGAAAAATAGTGTGTCCCATCATTGCGGTCAGTGGGAGGAATAGTGTCCCATCATTGGCGCCAATGGAAGCTATAGTGCCCCATCATTGGCATCAATGGAAGCAATAGTGCCCCATCATTGGTGTCAGTGGGAGGAATAGGGCCCCACCTTGGGTGTCAGTGTGGAGGAATAATGCCCCATCATTGGTATCAGTGGGAGGAATGGTGCCCCATCATTGGTGTCAGTGGTGGGAGGAATGGTGCCCCATCATTGGTGTCAGTGGGAGGAATGGTGCCCCACCTTGGGTGTCAGTGGGAGGAATAATGCCCCATCATTGGTGTCAGTGGAGGAATAGTGCCCCATCATTGGTGTCAGTGGGAGGAATAGTGC